AAGTAATACAGGCAAAAAAAAATTTTTAAAAACAAAATAAAGAGTAACACAGGCAGTTACAACTTTTGAAATTATAACTTTCCTGCAAAAGCTGGAATTTTATCAGTGACAGCAAGTATTGTTATTTTCCTTGGACAGACCGGCTCACTTCATTCATTTTGGTAGTCAGTGTCTGCCAAAAGCCAAACCAGAATTCCATAGTTTATGGTTGTCTCGATCATTCTTTCAGCTATGAAGAGTGTTCCATGAGCTGAGCCGCCGGCTCAGCTCCTGCGAGGAGACCCACGCTGTCCTGGGCTGGCGGGCGGGTGCTGTATGCGCTTCCAAACGTGTCCCACAGAACGTGAAAACGCGCGAGGGTCAAGGCTTCATGCGATTCAGAATTTTACTGCTTTTTAGAGGACATTCTTATGTGGAACTGGCTTACCCACCCCGGCCCTGCCCCGGGTGTGGCAGTGAGGCATACAGATGGGGCACTGTCTTGATTCATACTAAGGTACCAGTTTATCCACCATGGAGCATGTCAACACAGGGAAAATGGCAAAAGTAAAATAAGATAAATCAGTCTAAATATGAAAATAAGATTTGTTAGACCCCAGTGGTTCAGGACTCCACTTCAAGAGCTGCTGGTCCAGCACATATGCGGGCGTTGTGGCTGCCTAGTGTCTGCATCAGCCTTCTGATTTGGGGGTTCCCATTTGGCTAGCCCTACCCCTTTCCTCCAGCAGAAGCCAGAACTTGCTTTTCAGACCTTCCCGTCCCTAGAGCACGAGGCGACCAGTCTGCCCAGGGCGCCCTGCGCTGGGCTCCGTCGCACAGCCGTGCAGGCAAACCAGCGGCCAGCCAGCGGGCTGGGACAGTCCACAGGGCGTATGGTCCTTGCTCTGTGGTGTGGCCTCCACACCCGAGTCCCGGGTTGTCCCAGGCTTCTCTGTGAGGCAGCGCTCACACTGCGCAGGCATTTCTGTCTCCAGCCTCAGGAGCCCTGTTGTTTCCACGGAGGAGTCAGGGTGCTGCCCGGCCCAGGGATCATGGGGCGCAGGGGTTTTGAGCTCTGATCACACGGGCCTGGGTTGCTGGCCCACTTCTAGAGTCAAGTTTGGAGTGAGTCCAAGTGAAAGGCGCTTCCCCCAAGGGAGGAAGCAGAAAAATGCAGATATTACCAATAGTTAGGGTAGCTATGCGGGATAGGAAAACCAAGTTCACTGCGGGGTGATTACTCTGAACTAGGAGATAAAAATCAGGACTTGCCCTGCCTGGTGCTCAGTGGTTAAGCGCTGGCCCTGGGACTGAAGGGTCCTGGGTTTGATTCCGATCAAGGGCACATACCTTGGTTGCAGGATAGATCCCCTACCCTACGTGGGGCCCTGGGGGAGGCAACCAATCGATGTGTCTCTCTAACATTGATGTTTCTCTCTCTCTTTACCTTCCTCCCTTCCATTCTCACTAAAAATCAATGGGAAAAAACAATCCTCTGGCGTCTCAGCTGAATACTTGAGGTGTTCAGTAAGGTCCGCACTCTGCGGGGCTGGAGGCCACGTCTCTGGCAGCGGCCCTGGTAACTGTTGCTCTCTGGCCTGTAGCAGCAGTCTCCGCTGGGCCCTGGGTAACTCCCACACAGCCTGTCACACTCACCCCTGCATTGCTTTCATTTGTACCCTCAAAGTCCCAGCCACTTCCACAGCCCTGAATTCTGGGGCCCCTCAGTGCAGCAGAACTGCCTGCACACTGTCCTCAGCCCCCGCCTGGCAGGAGCCTGTCCTAAGGCAGATGGGCCCAGGAACCCATTTCATAATTACATTCTTTCCCTCAAGAGCCGCAGTGCCCAGGAGCCTGTTGTCCACAGTCTGGAAACAACTGCTGCCACCATTTCGTCCAGTTTCCTGGTTATTTAAGGAGGGAGGTCAGAAATGCAGGTCTCCCCTTCCCTCAGCCCATCTTGATCTGAATGCCTTTTCACACCCAAACCAAACATCACTAGCCACCTGCTGGTAGTCACCAGCATTTACTTTTCTGAGTCACTTCTCCATTCATTAAAAATCTGACTTTGGACAACCACTTCAAAAATACAACTAAAAGACAAAACGGACATCATCCAGAACCACAGGAAGGCTGGCTGAGTGGAAATTCTACAACTAGAAGGAAAGAGAAAAGCACACTGAGACTCAGAGGAAGTGCGGAAGTAAAGTGCAGAGGTACGGAGGTGCACGTGGAAAGGGCTGGCAACTGAGGACACGGTTGTCTTTTTCAAACGGGAGGGAGTCTCAAGCTCCCGACTGCTCTGAACTCCAGTTCCAGGCGAGTCTCTGGGGACCCAGACTTATACAAGGAGAAAATGGACTGTCTGGCATCGGTCAGAACTTGAGGGCGGCTTTCTCTGAGGTGCTTGCTGCGATTACTGGGACAATGAGACACGGGGCCTCTTAGGGTAGGACTGAGGATCTGCCATAGCTGTTTGCTCTGCTGCACCCAAGCTGTGAGCAGAGGCTTTTGCATATGAAAGGCCTGGCCTTTGCAATCTGAAAATTACCTAACAACCTGCAGCTGGGTCAAAGAGACCCAGAACTTCCAAAAGAAGGCCCAAGGCCCCACAGCAGCTTGCATTGCTTCACAGCTGGGCCTCATCTGGGCACCTCCAAATCCCAAAGAAGAGGAATCTTCAGATCTCTCCATAGCTCCTGCTGGGTAGCCTCAGGCAGAGGCTAAATTAGCACCTCCTTAGAGATCCAAGTGCCAGTGTACCCAGTGGTCAGAGTGG